AGTAGACTTAGGTTTCCCTTACTGCCTATAAAACATTCCTGCTACATCAAGGTGTCCTCTCGGCTTGTGTCACTGGGGATGATTGGGCACAGCCTCTGCAGGCTGGACTGTCTGTCTCTGTCTTATTGCCGCCTGCCTGTGCAGACAAGGCGGCTGTCCGATGTTGATACCTCAAATCCGTTAGGTTGTGGCCCTTTCCCTACAGAAAGGCAGTAATCCTGTGGTTGCTGCCCAGAGAGGGAGGAGGGTAGATGGAAATTCCTCTGTTGTCTGCGACTTAATTATACTGACATTCAGGGTCATCAGGGAGAGGATGCTGGCCCCACTCCTTTTCAGAAGTGTCTCCCTTGCCCACCCCAGAGGAGAACCTCCGGTTGACATGATCAATACTGTAAAACATGTTCTTCGCAAAAAGGAGGGAGCCACTGTGCCGCTGGTGCGCAGAGAATGAGATGTGAACTTCTTAAATAACTGGGCCAAGTTTCCTGACAGGTCCAGTCAATGAAGCTGGTGTCCTCCTGTCCTCCTGCCCTCCACATGGGAGGCACTTATCTTAGGGCTGTTGAGGTGGGACAGAGAAGACAGACAGATGTTAAACCATGACCCTGGGAAATGGAACAGATGTGAGCTCAGTGCTCCTGAGCTCTGCTCGAGACCCAGGCTCACGTCCTGGTTCTGCCATTGCCTGCCACTGGCGATGGCCCTCTCACCCTATGCCAGATACACCAGCTGTGAGCTATAGTATGCGGTATTAGGGAATTAGGGATTGAACTTGGGCTCAGAGGTGTTACCCACCCCCCCACCTCAGCTTACTGTCAACCTTGTACTCACTCTGCCTCTCAGAGTTACTCTCTAAGTCCTTATCTGAATGAGCATAGCCATTTCCAGGAGGACCACAGGATGTGGAGCACACGGCCTGGTGCACAGTCAGTGCACAGTGCAAATGAGTGCCATGTTTTGATTCCCTCGCCATCATCCACTCATCGACCTCTGACAGTCTAGAATTGTCTGAGCCCAGACACTGTGGGCTATCACCATCTGGACTCTGGCCTGCTCCCAGGTTGTGTCCCCAGCACAAGAGGCTACATGCCAAGATGCAAGAAACTGGAACCAGTCCCAAGAGCTGTGTCCAGTCCTGGCTTCTCCGCCTACCTGCTGGGTGGCAATAGACAAGTCCCTCCCCTTCTCTAGAACTCGGGGATCCTGTGAATGGCATTAACAGTCATATCAATAGTGGTAATGATAGTACCGATGTCAGTAGTGGTTTTATTGGTGTCGCCCCCCCAAAAGTCCATGCCCTAACCCCCACAACCTGTGAATATGGCCTAATTTAGAAAGAAGGGTCTCACTTATTCCTCAAATATCATCACTTGCAGAAGCTGCTTCAGGAAGCAGAGAGCAGGCGTTGCTGCCTGTTACCGCAGGATGAGGCCTGCGGCCAGTGTCTCTGAGAGCAGCCCCTCCAGGCATGAGTAACCTTCCTCAGCCCCAAGAGTTTCTCTAGAGTCCTCAGAAATCACTAGACTACAAGTGCTGTGATGTTCCTTGATTAAATGAACGCAACCCGCTACGGCCTGATTCTTAAGTAGGGCTTCGTCTCCAGGCCAGATTCCTGGCCAAAGGCTCCAGCTCAGCACCCCCAGGTCAGGGTCAGCGCCTGCTGGTTTTGGAGGAAAACTGGCTTGTCCTACCAATGCTATCCCTGAGGAAGTGGGGTCCACCTGGCAGTGGGCCTCAGTTTCTCCAGTGAGGCTGGGTGGCTGCTCCCACACTGCCCTAGGCTGCCCCAGAAAGGAGAGCCACGGAGCCCTCCCGTTTGGGGGACTGACTGGTTATCAGAACAGCTGCACATTCAGGTTCTGGGTGTGAGGGCTCAAGGAACCCAATGGTCCTTTTAAAATATATTGCCAAAACTCGTCACGCCTTGCTTCTTGAATCATAGCGTGACTCCTTTATAATCAAATTACATCAGCCTGTTTTATATGTAGGGCCTTTGAGCCCAGCAGATTTAGAAGGCATTCTGCTGAGCATAGGAGAGTGAGTGGCTGCAAAGGGGCATTTACGTGGGTTGGAAAGCAGGGGGACACCCAGGAGAGTCCAGCACAACTAGGCACACAAACAAGCAGCCCCATAAACAAGGCCCTGTGGATTATGTGGGGGTTGACCAGATGTCTTGTGGGCCCAGGCCACTCCTGCTCTCTGTCTGTTGTCCCAGAGGCATCATTAATGCCCCCTTTTCACTCTGAGAAGGATCTGGGTTTGGCTGATAAATCACTTGGTCACCCTAATTGCGTGTCATCTTATATGTGCATTCAACAGAGATGCAGCGTGGATGACATATTTGAAGAAAAGCCTGTATCTGTGTGCTCCAGTGGCTCTGAGGCTGGCTGTGTGTGAGCACGACTGCGCCCTGTGACTGAGGCATGTCCCTGTCTTGTTACATAGGTGACTTCGAGGTGAAATCATGGGCCAAAATGTCAAATAGAGAGTGGTTTAGATCCTTTCTCATAACCTGCTGGCTTTTTGATGTTGAGGAAATAACTTAGCTTATCTCAACTATCCATTGGGGATAATCATAGAGACTCAACGGTTGGTGTCATTATGTGATAACCCATGTCAAGCAAGTGCTTATTTCTTGATACATGATAAGCTACCAACGTATGGCATTGCCACTATTGTTATTATTGTCATTATTATTATTTCATGACCATTATTATTGTAGCTTTAGTCCCTCCATCTGTGACATGGTGGTGGGTGATCCTTGTCCTGGCCTGCTTCCCGGGTCTTCATGAGACTAAAAGCGAGTAGCATCCCCAGAACCTAGTGTCCCTGGGACTGTGCGTGCTGTCCCAGGCGAGGGCTTTGGACAGAGTCTCCCCTACCCGGTGGGGCCATCCCTTTGTGACATGGAAGATGGGTTCCCGAGACATCATCGCCCCTTCCACCCACCCCGAGGACTCTCCCCTTGCCGGCCCTCCTCGGCCCAGCCTACTTCCTCTTCCTTTGAACAACGCTGTATAAACACCAAGGCCAGAACATCACTTACTGTGGGGGGAGGAGGGTGCCACCCAAGAAGGGGCAGGGTCCAGATTCCCGGGTGGGCCTGTGGGGCACCTCTCAGTGTTCTCCGCCTGGGGAGCTTCCTCCCTTCCTGTGCCTCTTGAATGAAGGTGTCCTCTGTTCCCAGGGAACTTGCTTTATTCCCAGGCTCTTTCCATTAATTTGCTTTTCTGTATGCCTCGCACTTTCTTTCTTTCTTCTTCTTTTTCTTTGAATGTGACTGCTCTGAAAGGGAGGATTCCCTAGTGGTTGAGAGCAGGAAGTCCACCCGGACTTTCTGAGTTGAAATCTTGGCTTTACCTACCACCCAAAAGCTGAGTCCCTTGGAGGAACACATCAGTGTCCTTATCTATGAAAGGGGGCAAGAGGGATACATCTCTTGTGTGGTTGCTGGGAGGTATCAGGGGTCACTAAGCCTACCAATGCCTGATGCCCAGGGGGTGCCTGCTGAATGGGAGCTATTTGTATCCTAAAATCCTGCCCGTTCCTGTTTCTTCATGTCCCTGGGTGTTCTTGGTGCCGTGGGACTGAGGCTGCAGGGAGGTGTCCTGGCCCGAGTCTAGGCTCTGCTGCTGGTTCGTGGGGACTCTCGGGAGCAAGCCACCCATGCTGGGCCTTCTCACCGGGCTCTGCCTTCTCTTTGGTGTGCCCCTGCCCTGCCCTTTCACTTCTGGAGCCTTTCAAAAGTGGAAGACACACAGCCATTCTGAGCTCTCAGCGCCTCCACTGAACGGGGCAGGGACACATAACATGGAGAAAAAGCCACACGTCGTAGACAGGAGGTCAGGAGATGCCTGTCATCGTCTGGGTTCTATGGTGTGACCCTGGATTAGTCCTTTCATGTCTCTGGATTTCAGTGTCCCCAGTTTCAAAATGGGGGCAATGACCCCTCTAAAAAATGACCCAGAATGAGGGTGGTACAGAAGCGAGGGCCCCTGACGGTCTCAGGTGGCGCAGGCGATGTGGCCGCAGCCCCGGCAACAGTCCACGTGGCTGGGGACAGAAGTCACTCAGCACTGGGGTTGTGTGAGGTTGTGCTGCTTGTGGGGACCTGAGACGGGAGTTGTAAGTGTCCTTCCCTGCTGACCCTTGTGCTCTCTAAGGGACATCTGGCCTAAGGGTGACTCAAACAGGAAGCCATCAGCCGTCACTTCAAAAGCTTGGACTCCTCTCAGAGATGGGCTTACTTCGCGTTGCTCTCTGTTTGGACGGTGGGGGAGTAATTCACCGAGTTGAGGGCAGATCCTCCAAGAAAGCCGCTCCCTGAGAGGGCCTCTGTGACCACATCAGTCGGATGGAAGGAGGTGGGCTGTGCTGGGGGCTGGATAAGATCATAAGTGACCCAAATGCTGGTCCGTGGACCAGAGCCAAGATGGTGACATCAAAACTCTCCAGAAGCTTTGACCGCCACTTCAGGATGGAATTTTACTTTCTGTTAGCTTCTCCAGATGCACAATGAGTTTGGGAACTGCTAGCGTGGGTGGGACTAGGCTTGCCTGTCAGAGGGCTCCTCGATACTGTCCCCTTCCTGGTCCCCATCAGGAGGCTGGAAGTGTTAACAATATTAGCCCTGTGGAAGGATCAGGTTACGATTAGGGTTATCTATTCATGTGGCTGTTAGCCTAACCAGGTGCCCGTGTCCTTCATGATGTATAGTGGGAGTTGGGGGACTTTTGAGAGGACACCATGGGTAGGAGAACATTCTGGAAGTACCAGAGAATCACAGTCTGGCAGTGACCTAGCATTTTATCGGCCTGGCCCTCTTAGTTTTGTGGTGGAAGAAAGTGGGATTCTGGCTGGGCCTCAGGGGGAGAATCAAGTTCCTATCATATACACAGAAAATGGATTATAATTTTGAGAGTTCTTGAGAGAGAAAGCGGTGGGGATGGGACAGTGACGCTGATAACTGATGACTTCAACTTCTTCTCTCTTGTTTTCAGGTCCTTCTGTGGTACACCCAGCAAAAGGTGAGAGACACCATCTTACCCCTGGATCCTAGTTCAGAAAATCACCTTCTTCGCTGCCTACACCCACGTGCACAGGAAACAGCCCCCGCGTCAGGGCTCCCTTTTCCTCAGGCTTGTGCTCTGTGCTGGGACTTTACGAACACAACCCCAAATCCAGAGGAGACAAACTTCTCTCCCCCTTTACCTCTGTGACCCGGTTTCCCAAAGTGCAGGGCCGGCCTCACAAAGGCAGGCTCAGGATTCACTTTCTCATCAGGCCAAGGACTTTTCAGAGTCCCTGTGTTTTCCATATCATTTCCTTCCTTCCTCTCCCCCCCTTCACTTCCTGTTTTTTCTTCCTCTTTCTCCACCCCCTAGCCTGGCTCTCCAGCCCTGTCCCTTGTTGTCTGAGAACAGGAACAAAGCGCAGAGCGTAGATAATCATGATTTCCTGATGGGCCCTCTCTCACTGCTGGGAGCCAGGGACAGGCCCAGCTTCTCTGGGACACTGGAGCCTCTGCTGGGAGCACAGCAGGAAGCCTGGCCTTTAGATCCCGCTGTCTGAGAGAGAACCCAACAAGAGTAATCCTTCACGTCCTTGCAACAAGTCATAGTTTCCAAAGAACTTTCTCCTGCATTCAAGCTAAAACACTGGAAAAATAAGACAACTGCTAGTGTTTTGGCCAAGTAACTGAAGTCTAGTTCAGATGGACAAAACAGTGATGTGGGAGTTAGATAGGAGTTCATTTCTGGGTCTGCAGTCTCTTCTCTTTATGCTTCTATAGATCATTCTGGTTCTCTGAAACTGAGTTCCCTAGGCTTTTGGAAAAATGGAGTTACCGGTACCTCATGGGGACTTTTGAGGACAGATCAGGAAAATGTATCTGTCAGATTCATATGGTAGGCCTGGCAGATCTTATTTGCTTAATAAATGTGAGATCCCCTCCTGGGTTTTGGTTTTCCGCACAGAGGAGTGACTGTTCAACTATATAGTAGCCAGAAAAATCACATAATAAATGATACCCCTGGGAGGAGGGTCCATATCTGTCTGTTACTGTGTTTTCCTGAAACAAGGAGAAAGAGAGAAAGACAGAGAGACAGAGACAGAAACTGGCTGGGCACAAATCATTGAAAAACAAAGCCCATCCACTACTGTGCTCCTGGGGCCCAATGTTCCACGATAATATTTTTCTGATGGGAAATAGAGCAATCCCAACCACAGGCCTGTTTCACTCATTTAGCTCCCAGGGGCAAAACTATAAAAAACAGCAATCTGGAAAAAGTCCCACCTCCCTTTTTGAAAATCTGCTTAAAAAAAAAAAAAAAAAAGACTTTCCAACCAGGGTCAGTGACCACTTGTTTGAGAAGTCAGCCTGACCACGGAGCTACTTTTTAAAAAATTCCGAAGACCAGAGACTGAGAGACCTATTCCAATTTGAATTCTCCAAGTGGCCGAGTCCTTGAATGAGGCTCTTTGCTTCTAAGCCTCAGTTTCCCAAACTACAAAAAGAAAACATTGCACAAGTGGCGATTGCATCAGTTTCTTGTAGGCCTAGTCGTCTGTAATTCTGGTATTCTCTCTGCTCTCCTTAACACATGTATTCTCTCTAGAAGAGAACAGGAAATGGCCTCTCAAAGTAACATGACTTGCATTCCCTTTAACAGATTAACACTCACTTGACGAAGGAGAAACGACAGGACTCTAGGGGGCCACAGCCCTGGTTTGGGAGCCCAGACTTGCCATCAGCCTGGACGGGCGAACCTGAATCACAAGAGAGAGCTCTAGGTAAGAAACAAATGACTTGGGTTCCAGCAGACAGCACAGGGATAAGCAGCACAGCTGGTGGAGAGAATGTGGGATAGGTGGGCTTCCAGAACACTGGCAAGCGTGAAGGTCATTTCACCAGATTCGTCATCTTTGATTAGAAGTTGTGCCTCCTCTAATAATATACTGTAAGTTGGCTGATTGAATTTAAATTAAAAAAAAAAGAAAAAAAAGAAGTCATGCCTCCTAACACCACATACACATAAAAGGAGGAAAAACAAAACAAGACAAACAAACAAAAAAACCCAAAGATAAAGTTTTGAAGTGGTTAAAGGTTCCTGGGTTCTACACCTGCATTCTGAGTGGGAGCTGCTTTTATCCTGGTCTGGAGAATGTGAGGCATGAACTAGAATAGCTTAGAACCACAGGCAGCGGAGAGCAGACTGGAACTGTAGTTCTAGGATACTGGCCCAGGCAGAATTCATTGGGGATGAAGAATGCTCCGGGATCCATTCTGTCTCTCCCAGTCATGCAGATTTAGGTGAGCGGGAGATATCCTTCATTAGCAAACCCAGGACAGGATTTGGGTCTCGGGCAAGAGGTCTGGCTTGCATCACACTCGCTATAACAACTTTTGAGGCATTTTCTGTTTGTGCAGTTAGCATCCAAGACAACCGCACTGCTCCAGCAGCAGGTCGCCAGGCCTTACCTCCAACACATGGGTTCTTTGCTGTTCCTCCCTCCCTCCTTTGTCACCCCCTCCCCATTCACTATGGATACTTCTTATCTGCAAGGGCTGGGCCACACCTCCCTGAATTTCTTCATTGAACTTGGACCGGACATGAGCCGACACCCCTCCCAGATGACTAAAGATCTACCGAGGGGCTCAGCGCCCGGGGTGCTGGTGTTCTAGCACATTTCCTTAAGCTGGCCTACGGCACCCACCCTCGCAAGATCAGGAATCACAAAGGAGATGCCAATACCCTGAGGTGGCCTTGTACCTGTTCATCTCTCTCCAGTTGCTGGCCTTCCCTTCTGCTGTCCTCTATCCTAACACTCTTCCTCACATCTAAATGTCTTGAGTTCCCTTGAAAACTAGAAGCAGAAGCATTTCATACAGCTGAGCTCAGCAGAGAAGGTAAGACTGGATTTCTCGGGTGGTTTCCAGTCCCAGTTCCCAGGATCATTTTATCCTAGACTTGTTCCTGATACCACATGTTCATTCTTTGAGGGGGATAGGATTATCTGTTGCTCCCTTCCTTTCTTCCTCTTGTGGTTCCTTTTCCAAAGGTGGCCACCAGGCTACAGTATAAGTCAGAGGAAAGAGAAGAGCTTTTGGAATCAGACCTGATTTCAAACCTCAGTTGTGCTATTTATTAGTTCTGTGATTTTGCTGAAATCACGTTAAATTGGTGGGGTTCTGTCTCCCCACCAGTAAGATGGGGACCATATGCCCTATGTTGTACCCTTGTGATCAGAATCAAAGGAAATAATTTCTTCCTTAAAAAAAAAAAAAAAAGTTGGCTCCTTATCCTCCCCAATCTTATTTAGAACTACTTAAATATAGCTTTGGTCCCCCATCGGGTTCTGTTAGAACCTTGTGCCTTGTGTGTCTAGAAGTTTTAGGCACTCATTCACCCAGCCATCCATTCCACGGGTGTTGGGAGGGTGAAGAACATAGCAGGTGACATTCTTGGTCTTAGGGCTGCAGCACAGAACAAACCATAGTTCCTGTTCTCATGGGGCTTGCATTCTCATGGGATCGTGGGATGGCCAACAAGTAAACATATGTACAATATATCAGGCAGTGTTAAGTGTTATGGAAAAAAATAAAGCAGGAAAACATAAGTAAATAAAGCCAAGCCAGAGAGATGGAAAATGGGGAAACTGGGAACAGGATCCAAGGAAAAGCGTCCCTGCTTAGGCATTATTGTAGGACCCAAACAGAGTGAGGGAGTGAGGCTCGAAGGAACAAAGGCCTGAGGTGGGAATGTGCTTGGGCTTTAAGGGACGGCAAGCAGCCAGTAGGACTGGATCAAGAGGCGCGAGGGGACAGGGGAAGGAGGTGAAGGTAGAGAGAAGCAATCAGATCACGTAGGGCCTCATACGCACCTGTAGGGTCTTGGGCTTTTATGCTCTGGCTGGCTGGGGGCCTCAAACACCCACCAAGGGAGCCAAGTCCACATGGGGGCAGTTCAGACCTGTGAAGAGTCTTTTTTAAGAAAAGATGGATAGCCTGATGAGATTGGAGCATATGAGGCAAAGGGTCTAATTTTATTGACCCTAAATTTATTCTGATCTATCAAAAGCGGTTGGTTTTTAAAGGGCTTATTTTATACGCACTTCTTATAGAATCGTAAGATCAGAGTTTCCTCGGATGTTAAGTAGGTTCGTACGGATGGAGAGAATGAGGTAGTCGTCTGGGTGGATGTATACGCGGCCTTTTCTGTCGCCCTCGTGAATGGTAAGTGTTGGCCAGTGCGTGTGCAGCCTGAGTGTACACGTTGCTGGGACGTGGTTAGAGAGTGAGCCTTGTTTCTCACTGGAGAGTGGCTGGCAAAAGCCTATGCTGTTCTCGCGGGAGTGATGGAATTTAGGTCTTGATACATTTTCCTCCAGTCGGAAAGCAAATAGGTAATAGCCCCCTCTTAACCCTCTCCTAGTTGAAGGGGACAAAAGGAATGTTCTCTTTGGAAAGGACACAGTCGCTGGCCAGGGAATGCTGGAGTCCCTACCATGGGTCAGATGCTATGCTAGGCCTAGAAACTTCATCAAGATAAATGAAGCGTGCTCAGCCCTCCAAGGAGGTCATGTTCGTGACAATGACTGAGGATCCAGCAGTCACAGACTCAGATCGTGGGCAGGAGCCCCATGCACGAACAAAGTACAGAGAGGGAGGAGTGCCTGGGTAGGTCCGTTGGTTAAGCCTGTCTGACTTTGATTTCGACTCAGGTCATGATCTCGGGGTCATAGGACCAAGTCCTACGTCAGGCTCTGTGCTCAGCAGGGAGTCTGCTTAAGATTATCTCTCTCCCTCTGCCCCCATCCCCAGATAAATAAATAAATAAATAAATTTTGTTTTTGTTTTTGTTTTTGCTTTCTTTTTGTTTTTGTTTTTGTTTTTGTTTTTGTTTTTGTTAAAGTGCAGAAAGGGAGCATGTTCTCTGCCCAGGGAAGTCAGGGAAGACTTCCAGGAGGGGCCCAATGAGTTGGGCATTGAAGTGTGAGTAGGAGTTGGGAGCTGGGCAAGAGACACCCTCAGCACAGAATGGCACCGTATAAATACAGGCCAATGTTCGAGCGTCTGTGGCAGGGATGGAGAGGAAATAGCCAGAGTGAACAACACACAGTAATGCCTCCAGTCTGCTTTTGAGAACCCATTAGTAGCTGCCTCCTCAGCCTCCCACCTTGCTCCCAACAGTGACTAAAAATAATCAGATTCACTAATTTGAGTCGCTCTCTCCTCTGACCCCGTGGAGGTGTCAGTGAGCGGACTAGGCTGAGAGGGACCACGGAAAGAAGTGAAAAGAGGAGGAGGAGGAATCCATCCCCGCCTTCCAGGAACACTGATGTAATGGTGTAGCTCCCGCTGGCACTCTCTGGTAGCAAAATTCAGCTTTCCAGGAAACTAGGTCTGTTGCTTCCCCGTGAAAACTGCCAGAGAGGTTTAGAACTGTGTCAGTCTCTCTAGCTTCCTCTTAGGGGGGAAACTATATATATATATATATATATACCCAGACACACGTATATATGTGTACACTCTGTGTTTATACAGGTATGTGTGTACACATACACACTCAGGTATGTATTGCTTAAAATCTATGCTAACCTAACAGCCCAGCACGGAAGCCCTCCCGCCACACATGCCGGCTGGGAGAGGAATGGATGGGGTAGAAGTGGCCTTGCCCTCCTGCATGCTCTCTGGGTGTGCTGCGATCTGCGCACTTCCCAGCACCAGGGGTTCACACACACCCCAGGATGTCCACTGACAGAAGAGGACACTGAGACTCGACCACGGAGCAGCTTGTCCAAGGCCCACAACTACTAGGCGGTCAGGAGTCAGGCTGTCTATCAGTTGTCCCCTCGCCTGCTCCGCATGCTGTGCCACCCCTCTGATGGCACAGAGAGGAGCAGCAGAGAATCACCCTTGGACATGGGTTCCACCTAGAGCTCTGAAAGGCAGCACTAGGCAGAGCAGTGGCATCTCACCACAGAGTCCACTCCAGATCCCTGTGGTGTCAGCAAAGTCTCTACAGCTTGCCCTGCAGGCATCTTCCTACTTGCTTCCAGGGACGTGGAGCTCACTACTTGATAAAACAATAGGTTCTCATAGTGGGCACTAGGGACCTTTCCCTCCTTACAGAGCCATCTCTGAAACTAACCTTGTCCCATTTCTAGTAGGCTTACTCCCGAGTTTGTTTGTTGTTTGTTTGTTTGTTTGTTTTTTGTAAGCAATGTCTGCACTCAATGTGGGGCTCAAACTCATGACCTAAGATCAGGAGTAGCATACTATACTGACTAAGCCAGCCAGGCACTCCTTCATTCCTAGCAGGCTTAAACATCTCAACAGCAATCAGCTTAGGGAGTGACTGTTTGCTCAGTTTGGAGTCTCCGGGAGACACGGGCAGCCCCATGACGCACACTCCATCTCTGTTTCTCCTCCTGGAGAGCCAGGAGAATCAGCTGGGGCTTCCTCATCTCTTGCTTTTGGGGGCATCTGTGTGTTCATCCTGATGGGTTAGGCTGAGTGGAAGACAGAGCATATGGATTTCTTCTCTTCTCCCTCTAAGGTAATACCTCACCGTGAGCTTTCTCCGGCCCTCTTCACTCCACAACCCTGGCTTTCTCAGGGCAAGTAAGCATTTCCTTTGGACGCCCTTAACAGACAGAAGGTGAAGTTTGAAAAGAAGGGGAAGAAAGAGAAAAGGAAGGACAAAAAGGACGGCTGTGGCATCAGGGTTAACTCGCACTAGACCAG